TTCTTTAACAAACAGTATTAACAGCTCCAGCTCTATCACACGTCCGATCTTCCTATTAGATCTTACATAGTTGATCATATTTGTTGTCTGTTAACTTTACAAGATTTACTAGTTTGATCCTCCTGTTCAGGTTTCAGAGAAGCTATGCTTCCAGAATTAAATTCTAATGAAAATAAACTAAATAGCGTAAGTATATGAATGAATAATAAAGCCTACCTTGTAATGAAAAACATTAATGAAGTGGTAAACACCTGCGTTACATTATTTTTCTCACGTATAAAATATAGTTAACTTCATGATTTTTGCAGATGTTCTAAAAAGTTACTTCTACTTAAAAAAATGCATGACAAATTTTCACAAACCAAAACATTTCCATAAAGTTTAAATTATAAAGTCATGCCATACATTAATCTCTAAACGTTTAATATTTTTCAGGAATTCCGTGCAACCTTACAAACATTTTTATTAGCCGCGACATAGCGGCTCATAGAATGGCTCTGAGTTTTTCAAGTACAAACTTTTAGCTAATAGCTCCAACATCTCTTGAGCGATCTGAGATCTAATTACAGTTTTGAACTCAGGAGGTCAAACCCTTTCGATTGATGTATTTGACCATGACCAGGGTCTCGTAGATTAATTTATTCTAATCCTGCCTAAAAGAATTTCAATTTGAGAGTGGGGTGGTAGAGATTCTGATTAGTAATAAAATCGAATCGGGTATACGCGTGCCCTACGCTTAGTATTGCTGGCGCACAAAAATAAAGCTATTAAAAAGAAAAAAAAGTTACATAGATTAATTTACTCTAATCCTGCCCAAAAGCATCTCAAGTGCCACGGCTATTGAGGAGTCCCTCTTGTTTTTAATTGTGATTATCTTCGTACAAAATTAAAGGGTCCATTGATCTGCAGCTTATTGTTCGGTGGAGGCATAGAGGTGAAGGTCTTAAAATATTTTTTCAAAAATCGCACGTTTATTACTTTTAGCATCATTTATATGGTTTATGAGATATATATGTGTGTGATAATCTTAGAGTTTTGATTGACCGAAAATCATACAAAGGAACACTTTCACCATAGGTAAGAAGAAATAGTGTTAGATCTTTTTGCCAGCATTTTAATCTTCTAGAATAGGACGACGTTTCGTTTTTTGCTCTAAGTACTTATATGTCTTGATGCGAAAATTTCATATTTATTATTATTTTTGAAATTGACAACAATTGAATATTTCGAGAATGACTAATCTGTATATGTGTTTTAAGATTGGCCAAACTCCGAGAAGCGTAACTGGTCTACGGCCAAAATGTTTGTTATTACTGAAAACATCCCAAATAATTAAATTACACATAAAGCAGACAAGCAATCTTTACGCATCATTAATTCGCATATCAATATGATTTTTCTAAATAACAACTGTAGTGGAAGTTTTTTTCTTACCATTTTATATGCTCTAGAAAAAGTTTGTGTTGTTTCAAAGTTAAACACAAAGCTACACAATGGGACATCTATGGTGTGCCCACCACGGGTATCGAAACCCGGTTTCTAGAGTTGTAAGTCCGCAGACATACCGCTGTACCACTGGGTGGCCTAGAAAAAGTAAAAACACAACTTAACTTTGTGTACATTTAGGCTTAATTGTACACATTTAATCAACTTTTGTGGTATTATAATTAGTTTCTTAATTAATGCCATGTTTATAGATTTTGGCCTATGATTATATATTTTCATTAAACTAAGATATATTCGTTTTGACACACACACATATCTTTTGGCGTAAAGATAAAGAAAAAGACGATTGATTGACCACCATGATATTTTTGATATAAATATATATCTTACAATAATATAGTTTGGGAAAACAGAGGTCTATCCTTTGGGGTTGCACATAGCCGAGACAATATTTTCTCACAGCCAGCTCTACGTAACTCTATTCAGGGTACAGTCATCCGGTCGGTTAAATATTTATGTATTTAGGTATAAATATTGAAAATATTGTTTACAAGAAAGTTCTGTAAGCACCTTTTCCAATATCAATTCGATAGTTCTTAGTTTTCGACAATGTCTTGAAATACCACAACTCTCTAGATATTTTTTCGAATAGTATCATTCGGGAAAACGGATGTCTGTCTGTCCATTGCGTATGAATAAAAAAAACAAGAGGGAAAAGTACGAAGAAAAACAATTATATGTATAGATTTAGGGCTTATTAAGAGCGACTCCTATGAATACGTGATAATCTCCGTGTTGTTAAAATCTAACAAAAACTTTTTCTACTGCAGAACTTTTAAATAATAATTTTCAACTGATGCTTTAGTACCAAAATGATTTTAAAAAGCCAGTTTTCAGAGTATTGTTTATATCGTTTTATGCTAATAAAAATATGTTAACTTTTTATATTTAAAAAAAAATGCCTGTGTAATAAGCGTGTTTTGTTTTATTTGACTTCAGAATAGGTGTGGTGTATAATTTTTTAAAAGCTTGGTTACAAGTTCAATGTTTTGTTGAGTTCTGAAAATTTTGTTAACAAATGCAAAAACATGGACGACTAATTAAAACCTATGAAGATGTGTTGAGAACTCGCGGTATTAACATTGCCAGAGATGGGTCTGAGTTTTAAAATAACTTAGAAAGAGCATGTCTTAGTGGCTAAATATTCGATTTTGTTTGGTTAGATAATAATGAGAATTGAGTAAATACCACAACTTTGTATACTTAGTTGAATTATACACGTTCTATTAATATATACTTTTGTTGAATGAATATAAGGTTTAGTTGACTTATTAGCACCTATTAGCTACATTGTTGTTAAGAGCTCATTTATGGTTGACGTAAGAGCTCATCTTAAACCCAATGTTTCTGAATAATTTGGTTACTGTTTTTTTATGGATTATGCCTAGATGCAGAGTTCTTAACAACTTAATTGTTTTAATACAACAAATATATTTGTATACGTCATCATGTAATCAGGTGAACACGTTTAAAAAGTTTTGTTAAATCAAACATAATTTAATGGAGTTGAATTATTACGAGTTCCGCGTTGATGCGATAGGAAATTATACTTATATTAGTAGGCATCGTAGGCAAACTACTTGCAGAATTAAACAATGTTACCAAGTTTCAGCACAGATTTAGAGTATACATGATACATAACAGCTCAATGTAATAAAATGTATCCGTGGTAAAACATTTTTATTTGCCAAACACGTGCATATATATAGGTATAATTCAGCAGTTCACTTTACTAGTTGTTGTAAGTATAGCACCGGTAAACCATATTTGTGATTACAAAGTGAAACCAGGGAAAATAAAAACTAAATCAATACATGGTTACCTTCTGTGGACTAAGATTTACAAATACTGCATAAACGTAAATATAAATATCGAATTAGTTTACTTCTTATCTGTGTGCTTTATCAGTTTCACACAGTTATACCTAATCCTACCGTTAATCAAATCCTTAAAAATCTGAAGAACGGTCCATCCTGAAAAGTTTCAAGTAATCTTACTTAAAAGTAATAATTCTTGTTTCCAGAATTTTTTTCCCTCTAGTGGAATAGTTTCCACATATATTAGTTTCAATGAAAGAAAAGTGTGAAGTTTTCAAATGACAATTTATAAAGTACTGTTTCTAGTTGATAGATCAAATACATATCTCACAACCACCTTCGTTGCACCTAGGTAGTTTTAACTCACGGAAATTACTCAACTAAGTTTTCAAAGACCCTTTATCTCGGCTTCTTGTCAAGCCTAACTGATACCGGAATATCCTGAACTAGAGGTCCCGGGGTTGAATGGGTAGCTCACGACTTTCTGAGAGTTAATAAGTTAATTGTCACTTCAAAGTTTCGTCCTCCCACTCTGAGCACTTTCACAAAAGTAATGCTTTTTTTTTCTTAGCGTAGTTTAATATTTAAAGGACACTTTTTTAACTTGCTTATTCAGCGACCCCAGAAAGCTTTGAATAGGTTAAACACGAATTAATCATAACCAATAGCTTGCATGATTACGTGAGGTAATTAAAATTAGGTAATTACGAAATAGGTTCGCAGGGATCCTTTATTTTTCTGTCTACACAGCATACGTTTGTCAAAAATCTCTTTAATTACTTCAGATTTTATTTACCATCCAAATAGTTTGTCTTTTCGGGTCATCATGAGCTGTTACAATATTTTTTATCATCTGCTTATCTCATCTTAAAAACCAAAAACATTAAAATATAAACAATATAATGTTTTTTCTTTCTTCTTTGTCCAGTTACTTGTTGATTTCCAGTTAAATCTGTTTACAATTTGGCTTTTTCAAAAGTCAAATAGTTTTGATATTAAAAAAAGGTGTATGTTGAATAACATGATCACAGGCTGAATACTTTATCAAAATATTAAACGTATTTTAACATGAGACAATGTTAGTATGTTTGTCAGAAACACGCATCATGTTAGAATGAATGAGCTTATAAGGTGTATCAATATATATATATAGACATATTTTGTATTTTGATTCCAATCGTGCTGTCAGAAAAAATTAACTACATAGTATTATTTCAGTCAGATTGTGTGTGTATATGAGGGCATTATCATTTCATTTCGTAGTGTGCAATGAATTTAAAAAATATGATAAATATAATGACACTTATAACTATAGGTAAAACGTCTGGCTGCTGAAATTATGTGGCTGTTTGAGTAATTATAATTAAAACCATACCAAACAGATTCTAAAGCTTAGGCTGGAACGCTAAAAACGTTTTTTCAAACGCAAGGTCGAGCGTTATTATGCAGAAAAATCACATATTTAAAATGATGATTTCGTAAAAACTATTCAGCGTAGGGTAACAATATTTCACCAGAAATAAATATAAAATCATAAGTTTTATTCGTGAAAGTACGAACATAGTAGAAAGTGTTGTCATTCTCAAACAAGATATCAAGCCTATGTCTAAATGAAGATTCTGCAGGTATTATTTATTCTGGATAGTTTTCGTGGCTACTATCAGCATCAGGTATTATTTATTCAGGATAGTTTTCATGACAACTAGCAGCATGAGGTATTATTTGTTCAGGATACTTTTCATGGCTACTAGCAGCATCAGGTATCATTTGTTCAGAGTAGTTTTCATGACAACTAGCAGCATGAGGTATTATTTGTTCAGGATACTTTTCATGGCTACTAGCAGCATCAGGTATTATTTGTTCAGAGTAGTTTTCATGACTACTAGCAGCATCAGGTATTATTTGTTCAGGATAGTTTTCCTGGCTACTAGCAGCATCAGGTATTATTTGTTCAGGATAGTTTTCATGGCTACTAGCAGCATCAGGTATTATTTGTTCTGGATAGTTTTCATTGCTACTAGCAGCATGAGGTATTATTTGTTCAGGATAGTTTTCCTGGCTACTAGCAGCATCAGGTATTATTTGTTCAGGATACTTTTCATGGCTACTAGCAGCATCAGGTATTATTTGTTCTGGATAGTTTTCATGGCAACTAGCAGCATCATGTATTATTTGTTCAGGAAAGTTTTCATGGCTACTAGCAGCATCGGGTATTATTTGTTCAGGATAGTTTTCATGGCTACTAGCAGCATCAGGTATTATTTGTTCAGGATAGTTTTTATGGCTACTAGCAGCATCAGGTATTATTTGTTCTGGATAGTTTTCATGGCTACTAGCAGCATCATGTATTATTTGTTCAGGATAGTTTTCATGACTACTAGCAGTATGAGGTATTATTTGTTCTAGATAGTTTTCATGACTACTAGCAGCATCAGGTATTATTTGTTCTGGATAGTTTTCATGCTACCAGCAACATCTGCACACTAACATACATGTTTGTTTTCAAATCACTAAACTGTTTTTGTTGAATTGAAAAAAAAAGAGGGAATGAAGAAAAATAAATACAATTCTAATTTGTAGGAAAAGCAATTTAGGTATGGACTGTTTTGAAAGACCGTGGTCCATGTCCAAGTTTTCCTAAATAAAACTTATGACCCTCAGTGTATAAGTGTGGCGAAATGTTGTTCCTCTAAAGCAAATAGGTTTTAAAATATAATCATATATTAGATATACTCATTTCTATATAATTGTCATGTAGTTCGAGTATTACTGAGTAGTATTGTCTCAACATTTAGCAAAACTACTTCTTCTTAGGGGTTTTATCATATCAAATGTTCCCTATATTTATTTTATCGCATTCCATAATCTAGATTAACTGCTTATCGTAGTGACACATAGGCAATATACATGTATCATGAGTCACATGTATGTTGTGTAAAAGAATATATTTAAGATAGTCATATAAAAGCTCAAAATCAGACGAAATAAATATAAATAATGGGTAAGCTAACTTAGAATACGGTATAGTTGTGTTAGTTTCTTATATCTTCAGAGGTCTGTATGTCAAATGCCTTACAATGTGGTGCTTTTATCGTATAGCTGTAGATAATAAACTCACAAAACTGCTGTGATGCGATTAATTCGATGAGATGAACTGGAAAACCTAATAAAGCCCTCTTTCAGTTGAATGTAGATCAAAATATGTTGAAAGAATGGAGACTTGAAGGTGCACATGTTCTAGGAATATATTATGCAACAATTCGAAATTTTAGCTAAATTCTTCCTAAATCAATTCAATAGCAGGGCTGAAATTGGGGCATATTTTTAGGAGTCTCACGAATCAGTCTCAAAGACAACAAATCTGTTGAAACTCTCACGGTCATGAAGTGTCATTAGCGTTTCTGCTGCATTGTGTCGCCAGCCATAAATCCTCGGACTCATAATCAGAACCGTCTAACCAGTTGGCTACACCATACTCAAATAAATGTGAAAAACGCATTCGTACATATTTTATTCCAAAGGAATTTAACTTTATTTTATGTAGGGTATTATATATTTTGTGGATACAATACTTACATCTCGTTTATAATAATTTAGAACCATGCCGGTAGATAGCATAAACCATAACTTGGGACTCGAGGTATATAATATATTCAGTAATAAAAAAACATAACTATGAAATATAAACGTTTAATTACTGAACCACACACATATACGTGCCTTAAAATATGAGGTCAAATACTCTTTCTTTCATTTATCAATGTACACAGAACTGCTAAAAATTTAGTCTGTTGAACTTTATTTTACACGACACATTGATTATGTACTTCCAAATATTTAATGTTATTTTTACCACCCTTTGTCTCTTACAGCTTAGTATTCGATTAAAAAAATGAAAGGAACAGATGTACAAAAATTAAACAATATTCGTTTCAAAAGCTTGATTCATATCATATACAATATAATAATGGCATATTTCCTAGAAAAAATATAGAAAGTATAGTAAAAAATCAGCTAATCACAGAAGAAATATTGCTTCAAAAATATGCCTAATGTTCTAGAAGGCTAAAACAAAACCTAATTTTATAATGGTAATTTTAAGGCGATCAACGCTGATGTGAAAGCTTTCCAACAATACAGGATAATGACGTACGTAGTAATACAGCATGAAAGAAGCAATATCGATAAGCCTTGTATATAACGCTTACTTAGCCGACTTGCTTTGAGCTAACACTGTTCTTCGCTGGTCAACATCTGTGAAGTCTATATTCGTCGGTCAACATCTCTAAAGTGTACATATCCAAAACCCAATTTTGGTGATGTTTTCAGAAAACTAATTAACTATGAACGTAATCTGCTGAATTTTAAGGCACTTCTGGATCCATGTTGTTTATGGTTAAAATTTATTATATCTGTTTCCGAGTCACTTATCTTTATTACAAAAATAATAAATATCTTGGTATGATGAATAGAACTTATAATCTTTATGCTATTCGTTATTTAGAAAATCAGCACTATATTTAGATTTAACTGAGATAGTGTTTTCCTACTATTTTATCATAGATTATCACAGAACATTTAAGTATCAGCTTTGAGATTCTCTTATGATACTTGAGTTCTACTATAAAGGGAAGTTTTCACCAAACAAAACTGTAGTATTTCTAACACTGATGGAATATATTACTTAAAATTGTTCACCCATGACATTAGATCAGTAACAAAAAAAACCCTCGTTCCTACTTACAGAAAATATTGCTAAAACTCATTTTACATAACCAAAACTTGTCAGACCGATACGCTTTCACTGGTATATATTTATAATAAAGTTTTTAGTCTCTGCTTAAAATTCTCATTAAAGCTTTTATGTAACTTTGAGCCATTTGAAGCGTCTCATATTTCGATAGTTTTCTGTCTCTTCCAATCGAGGGCAGTACTTCCCGCAATCGGTCAAAAGCGACGTTGAGGCTGTTCATGCGACGCCGTTCACGAGCGTTGGCGGCAAGCCTACGTTTCTTCATCAGCGCTGGTGGAGGAGGAGACTTTTTTGAATTTTGTTTCCTAATGTTACACTTGTGGTTTTCGACTGGTTTAGTTCCAAGGTGTTCCGACATTTCTCTGCTGTGTATTTTGTCTGTTACGTCTGTGTATTTATTCGTGACTGTTTGATGTTGAATATTCATCGTTCTGGATTCAACGAAATAAGCCACTGGCTCTGAAGTGTGACAGACAACATTGTAGGCTGTATAGCAAAATGAATCGAGAGCTGAACCGTTCGTACTATGAACGTGAGGCATAGTGTTGTTCAACAGTGAATAGTGACCAGTGGTCCAGCTGAAGTTGGGAGTAGAGTATCCATCAGAGTTCGACTGATGAGATGGTTCCATTGCAGATAGGTACGTTAAGGAGAACGACCAAAATGTTTTTAATAGGTAAAAGATATTTCTTTAGTTTGTTGAAGTATAGAAATAACTTATTTCCTATTTCCAATGGTCTACTAAGTCATAAAACAGAAGTTAGTAAACACTATAGAAAAGTGAATTTCCAGCAACAACAGATGGGTGAAAATTTCTATCTAACGCACGAAGACAAACATCCCAAGTTTCCGTAGATTTTGTTTCAACTTGTTTATATAACGAAACCAGAGGTACCGCGTGCAACAACTGTCGTCATTATCTTGTCATCTGATGATTTGAGAACCAATCAAAGCGCGAGCTTTGTAGAACTAACTTGTAGTTCCGACTTAATCTTAGACCAAAACATCAAGGTTAAACATCTGAAGAAAACGCTGTTTGCACCGAGAATAATCAAGAACATTAAAAACATTCTTATTTATCTTGCTGTAAGCATCATATTATAGTTAACAATTGGTTATAAAAAAAGTTTATTTCCGTATTCATTTCCGGCAATGAAACACGGGAAGATATTTATTTATTCGTATTAGTATAGAAATGCCCTATTAATTCAAAACTCAAAATGTTTCAGAATTTGAAAATCTTTGCGGGTTTAAACATCATATTTGTTTTGTTTTCGGATATTCGCGCAAAGCTTCTTAAGGGATATCCGTTCCAGTCGTCTCTAATTTTGATTTGATGGACTAAAAGGAAGGCAGCTATTGAAAAGCACCCATTGCCAACTTTTGAGCTCCTCTTGTATGACCGAATAGCGGGATTTTACTGTCACCTTTACTACGCATCTACGACCCCAAACTGCAGATCACGATTTATTTATTTATTTTCCATATAGGTACGCGAATCGTGGACACAAAGATCCACAGTCTGGCACCCTAACTATTGGCCACGCTCGGCCCTAAACCTCGTGACTAAGATGGTAATTAATATAAAAAAAAAAGTTTGGCAAGTACAATTAGTGCAGCTGCTGTAGAGTTAGCCATTAAATAATTCGCTTAGATTAAAAAATAGTGTTATAATGATATTTCAGGAATGTGAAATATAAAAAGTATGTTAAACCTCAAACGCAATAAATATACGAAACATTTATATATCTGAGAATGATTTTTATTGAATAATTTTATTTACCTCCAATGATATGAAACATAATTACATAGTATAGAAACGCTCTTCGTGATATATATTACTAGTTGTCTTTAAAATGGCTATTTAAAACAAGTATTGATTAGAGGGAAGGCTGCAAATAAGTACCATCCGCCATCACAGGGGCTTTGTGAACTGAACTGAACAACGGAATTTGCTGTCATGTTTATATAACACCCACAGTTGAAAGTATCTCATCCTCGAACTTGGGTCCTCCAATCCGTGACGCAATACGCTAATAACTAAGCCACACCCGGCTCAGGATACTTGAAAACTATACGATATAAGCACGTTTCACGAGTTACCGCTTTCCTTAACTAATATTATACATTTTAAAATACCACATTGTTACACAATTACACCTAGTCTAAATATATGTTCCAAACTAAAGCCAAGTTAAATATTTTTTGCTGCCTAGCATTAATACCTAGAAAAATTCGATTACTAAGGGAAGGTATTAAATCACCACAAGAGATACATGATGCACAATCTGTGTAAGAGATTAACAAATTCTCTTAGTGAAACATGTAAAGTATTAACTTTCGTTTAACGAGAAAATAGAACATTTAAAACTGAATGGTTTCAAAAAGAAGTATCAGAAGAGAATTCATGTCTTATATAATATTAACTAGGAAGTTACACATATATTTTTGCCTTTATGCTTGGTTTTACAATCGACGAAGATGTAGTTAATTAGTTCATGTCTTCTAATAAAAGAGAAATGTGTTTTGTTCGAAGCCAAAGCCGGGCGTGACCTAATGGTTAATGTGCTAGGACCCAACGTTCGAACCGTGATATAAAGAAGTTATAACTATGATAGTCAATCCTTCTGTTCGGTCTAGAGCTGCCATGTAGGTGGTGAATGCTGCTGTTGTCTTCCCCATGGTTTAAATTATGGATGGCCATATATCTCAAAATCGGGTTCTCTGATCTGGCTGTTTAGCCTATACTTAGATCGACGAGCTGTTAATAAAAAGGTGCCCACCAGAATGACTCATAAAACGATACCAGGTAGTTCTGGTTGGAAAACTTTGGTGTTATTTCGAAGTTCAGATATAAGGAACCTACTTTCAGTTGTTTATATTTTATTTACATTTCTTAAATTGCTAAGCTCCATTCTTCAAACGAGGGAATGTAAACATCTTGCTTTCACCAAATCGATAAAAGAACTGAAAAATTTGGTTTATAATTTTTTATGTAGTGAAAGAATAAAAGATCAAACATAAGAATAATAATAACAGATAAAAAAGTAAAAAATATAACGCTGATGATCAAATACAAGTGACCTGGCATAGCTTGGTGGCTAAAGGGCTCGTTTCATAACCTACGGGCCGTGGGATCGAAACAAGTCGCTTAACATACTCTGTCAGTTGTAGGGGAGTTATAATATGACAGTCTAATATGACACTATTCGTTGGTAAACAGTAGTCTAAAATTTGGCAGTGGGTGATGTTGACTAGCTGCCTTCCTTCTAGTCTATCACTTCAAAATCAGGGACGGCTAGCGCAAGTTACTTTCGAATATCTTAACAAACACAAGTAGTACCATAGATACTGAAAGATTTTGACATTTTCGAGTAGTTAATAGTTCATTTTATATATTTTTCTAGGCCTAACCAAGATTATGTTATTATATACAACTATCTAGAGAAAATACAAGGACCATGTCGTACAAAATGTGAATTTCTTTATCAATTGTGTTGTCGATAATAGTTATCCTGACAGAATGTAATAGTTAAAGAAGCCAATTTGTTTCCGATACAACAGAAACATTACGATTAAAAAACTAGTTTTCCAGATCTAAATTCGTAATAATTTCAGTTTGCTAATGTTAGTAATTGAAATCTATTTCGTTTTTGTTTTATTTTTTCTTAAGGAAAATATTTATATGTGTTCATACGGATATCTAATTTATTATCTCATTAGCTATATTGATTCTTGGCGATACCTAACGGGGTATGCAAATAACACACGCCTGCGAATTTAAACTTCATAAAAGTTGTCTTGGTTTTAATGACGGATTTTCCATAATTCAGCTACACAGATTTCGAAAAAAAAATATTCACTTTTTTTTTCTATCACGTAAGGATTT